TTCAACCACTCAGAATGGTATGGCGCATCCTCAGGAAAGCTGGAAATAGAAATACCCTGTGACCCAGCAATCCCTCTACTTGGTATAAATCCACAAGAAATATGACCCAGGACTTAAGTCGATATGTGCACATCGACGTTCATCAAAGCATAATTCAAAACAAAAAGATGAAAAGAGCATTAAGTTCCCAACAATAGTAGGCTCAACAAACTTTGGTACATATATACAATGGAATGCTGAAGAGTAACGAATAATCTGCAAAACACCTCATAACTTGTATGAACCTGGAGGGCATTACGTTAATTAGACAGTCACAAAAGGCCAACTACTGCATGACACCATTCTTGTAGAAGTTTAAGAAACGTTTTCCAGACTAGAAGAAACATTCTTTGACAGTTACCTGGGGTGGGCAGCAGGGGAGTGTAATTCACTGGCTAGAGGGTAGGCATATGTTAGCCCAGATGGCGGGAAAGGAAACGTTAAAGTAGAGGGAGAGCACTGTCTAAGAAGAGGGAGAGTGGCAGAAGAGTAATTAGGACAGGTAAAGATCTAGGGCCGTATGCAAGGGCTAAAGGTGATAGATGTAAATACTGGTAAAAGCCTGAGTACAGACTTGAGGAAAAATTTAAAACGGGGGTAAAAAAAAGGAAAAAATAAAAAACTCGATGATTTTGATCTGGGCATACTGAAACTAGTTTCCAAAAGCAGGTCTGATATGAGGAAGCTGGAGGATGATCACGCTTAGGGACTGAAGAAACTTGGTAAAGAGAGATTTATAATTCTATCTGGGACATCCAACTGTACATCTAAGAGGACACACTGAACAAACACTGGGATATTTAGCTCTGTACCTCAGTAATGGAGTCCTGGTGTGGCACTGTGCGTTAATGTGCCAGATTGAAAAGCTGTTTGAACTGCAAGGTCGGCAGTTCAAGCTTACCAGCTGCTCTTCAGAAACCCTATATAGGGTGTCTCTATGGATAGGAACTGACTCAATGGCATTTCACAACAACCACCACCTCAGTAAGCATAGACAATCTCAAGAAAAGATTTGATTCATTAGACACTAATGACCAAAGACCAGAAAAGTTGTGGAGTGACATCAAGAGCATCATACGGAAAGACAGTAAAAAGTCATTAAGATGACAAGACAGAAGAAAAAAAACCCACAATGGATGTCAGAAGAGATTTGAAACTTGATCTTCAATGTTTCAAGAAATGCAAAAAAGCAAACGAAAGGATAAGGAGTAAAAGCTTAACAGATACAAAGGCAAGAAAGTGACTGGCTTACAAGCTTTCAAGAGGGAGCCTAGATCCAGAGGGCACGGAAGAAGGTACAATCTCTAGGGAGTAGTATCCAATGAGGCTGGGTGGAGCTGATGAAAGGAGATGCAGACAGGTCTTTTGTGATACAATAGTGAAGAATTGTTATCAGGAGGGTTAGAAATGGAAAGGTAGATGTTTTGTAGCAAAACGAGGGGAGTGATTGACTTTGCAGTCTAGGAGCAGAGGTACCTGGGGCCATCAAGGGAGAAGAGATGAGAGCAGGACCCTACCCAGAGAAGTAGTGACGCCAGAGATGGAGGCAGAGATGATAACGAGAAGAGATGGAGCACCTGGGGACTCTAGACCCAGAGAGGGAGAGGGGCTGTGTGCTGACGACCAGGGTGCAGGCTTATAGTGTATACCCTCTGGTTGGTTGATGACACACGGAGGGGATTGTAATCATGGCAACGAAACAATATACGATAGGATGAATGTAAAGCTAATGTTCTCCCCTGTAAACTATCACAGAATTCACAACAAAACCTTAAAAACAAACAAGAAAAGCTTAACAGAAAATTTCAAAGGACAGTTTGTGAAGACAAAGTGAAGTATATAATGTGAAATGACCTGGAGATTGAAAACCAAAAGGGAAGAACAGGCTCAGCATTTCTCAAGCTGAAAGAACTGAAAAAAAAAAATAAAAAATAAAAATTGAAGCCTATATTGAACAATTGTATGGGCATAATTCTTCTATTTCATCCTCACTGGCTTTAGTGGTTGGTGCGTAAATTTGAATAATAGTGGTATTAACTGGGCTTCCCTGTAGGCGCATGGATATTATCCTATCACAGACAGTGTTGTACCTCAAGACTAATCTGGGTATGTTCTTTTTAACAATGAATGCAACACCATTCTTCTTCAATTTGTCAATCCCGGCATAGCAAACCATGTAGTTGTCAGATTCAAAATGGCCAAAACCAGTCCATTTCAGCTCACTAATGCCTTTGTGATATTGATGTTTATTCGTTCCATTTTATTTTTGAGAATTTCCAACTTTCCTAGATTCATACTTCATACATTCCATGTTCTGATTATTAATGGATGTTTACAAAACTTCTGTTTCTGGTGTGGCGCTGTGGGTTAATGCGCCAGACTGCAAAGCTGTTTGAACTGCAAGGTCAGTGGTTCAAGCTCACCAGCTGCTCCTCGGAAACCCTCTACAGGGTCGCTATGGGTCGTAATCGACTCGATGGCACTTAACAAAAACAACAACAACAGCTGTTTCTATTCATTTTGAGTTGGGCCCCATCACCAAATGAAGGACCTGCGGGCTTTACTCCATTTACATCATGGTCAACTCTACTTTGAGGAGGCAGCTCTTCCCCAGTCGCATATTGAGTGCTTTCCAACCTGAGGGGCTTGTTTTCCAGCACTATATCTGACAGTGTTTGCCTGCTATTCATAATTAATTGTGATCATGAAGAATCTGTACATGGACCAAGAGGCAGTTGTTTGAACAGAACATGGGAATACTGAAGAGTTTAAAATTAAGAAAGTTGTGCGACAGGTATTCTTTCACCATGCTTATTCGACCTGTATGCTGAGCAAATAATCCGAGAAGGTGGGATATATGAAGAAAAACATGGCATCAGGATTGGAGGAAGACTCATTTACAACATGCAATATGCAGATGATATAACCTTGCTTGCTGAAAATTTAGAAGACAGATACATGGTCAACTGAATGGAAGAGATCTATATTGGTGCCATTTCAATGAGTGGTGACCAAATGGAAAGTGGGAATCATCAGACAACATCATTTATATCACATGCAAGTAAAATTTTCCTGAAGTTAATTTAAAAATGGATGCAACAGTACACTGGCAGGAAATTGCCAGCAATTCATGCTGGATTCATACGAGGACATGGAATGAGGGATATCAATGCTGGCATCAGATGGATCTTGGCTGAAAGCAGAGACTACCAGAAAGATGTTTACCTGTGCATTATTGACTACACAAGTATTCTGATTGTCTGGATCATGACTAGCTATGGGTAGGTAACATTATTAAAAGAGTGGGTATTCTACTACACTTCATTGGGCTCATGAGGAATCTGTACGCAGACCAAGAGGCAGTTTGTAGAACAGAAGAATGGGATACTAATGGTTTAAAATCAGGAACGGTGTGCACCAGGGTTGTTCTTTCAGCATACTTATTATAATATAACCTGTATTTCTGAGCAAATAGTCTTAGAAGCTGGACCATATGAAGAAGAATATGGAATCAGGATGCTCGGAGGAAAACTCATTAACAACTTGTGATAAGCAAATGATATAACCTCGCTGAAAGTGAAAGGACTTAAATTACTTACTAATGAAAACCAAAGACCACAGCCTTCAGTATGGGTTGTACCTCAACGTAAAGAAAACAAAAATCCTTACCACTGGACTAATAAATAACAAACACCATGCTACATGGAAAAAGACTGAAATTGGCAAGGACTTCATTTTGCTTGGTCCACTATCAATACTCATGGAAGCAGCAGTGAAGAAATCAAATGGTGTATTTATTGTGTTAGGCAAATCTGTTACACAAGTCCTATTTAAAATGTTTAGTTTGAGGACTAAGGTGTGCCAGATCCAGGACATGGTATTTTCAATTGCCTCAGACGCATGTGAAATTTGGATAATGAATAAGAAAGACTGTTACAAAAACTGATGCATTTGAGTTATGGTGATGGAGAAGAATACTAAAAGTACCATGGCCTGCCAGAAAAATAAACAAATCTGTGTGGAAGAAGTACAGCCAGAATGCTCAATTAAGTATGGCAAAAGTTCACCTCTCATACTTTGGACATGTTATCAGGAGAACCAGTCCCTGGAGAAGGATATTATGCTTGGTAAAGTAGGAGGTCAACAACAAGAGAATGGCCCCAAGGAGACAGACTGGCACAATGGCGGCAGCAATGGGCTCAAACGTAACAATAACTGTGAGGATGATGAAGGACTGGGCAGTAGAGTTCATTCTGTTGTACATGTTGTCGCCGTGAGTTGGAACTGACTTAATGGCATCTAACAGCAATAGCGTAAATGTAAATACTTAGTCTGTAGATGGCTTTATCATATTCCACAGTCCATCTACCAAGAGTTTATGAAAAGAAGGTGCCTAAAAGGTAACTTTCTAAACTGGAACACCTTTTGCAACTATGTAATAAAAACATTTTCATTTGCTTCTTTCACTAAGTCCTTGAGACAGCTGTAGTGGCCTCTCCACAATTCCAGTCTGTACATACTACAGTGCCCCTTGTTCTCCACCAGCTCTCATCAAGACTCCATCATGTAGGTACACCACGGTGCTTTATACATGGGAAAGCAAAGCACCGCACTCTAAGAACTGACAATGAACCACTCACAGATTATCAACTGATAAGATCTGATACACAAATGTATGATTTCAAAAATGTGGTTCCATTCCTGGAGCCATGAAATTGTTCCTACATTGTTGCTGCTGCTGTTGTTAAGAGCACTGGTTTCGACTCAACAGCAACACTGTATAGGCTTTGAATATTTTCTGGGAGCAGAAAGCTGCATCTTTCTCTCATGAAGTGGCTGGTGAGCTTGAACTGCTGATGTGATTGTCAACAGTCCATTGCTTATCCTATGTACTTGATAGCAATCCAAGATTTCTAGGTTCCACCCTGTCTTTTCTCTTACCATATGAAGTATGTCCTCACCTGAATCCGAGACCGGGCTAGATACACATTAGATTTCCATTCAGTCTTCATTTTCCGGTACTGAGATGACTTGGAATGGACAAACTGCTTACTGTAAGGCGCATTCAGTTCTCCAGTGACCGTGCTCTGAAATGACTTTGAGGTGCTGGTGCTGTTCAAGGTGTGAGGCCTGCAGACAAAGGCAGATCAAGAAAAAATAATAAAAGGAAAACTGAAGAAATCTCTGAATAATGTCCAAAGCCAAGTTGTTTCAATCATTACTGACAGAAACAGACATTGAAAGCTACCTAGCAGTGACAACACAGCGATTTCTCTGACTTAGTCGTGCACATACACAGCCAGAGACAACAGGGTTTGTAAGCAGCAGACAAATCAAGCACAAAAAAACCACTATAAGCCTAGAAACCCTGGGCTGTACTATGTGAAGTTAAAACAAAATACCTTAACACAAACCTCTTGACATGGGTACTCATTTTAGGTTCAGAGCGGGCACAACCTGTGGGGTTAACGGCAAGAGGAAGTTCCATGAGAGGATTTCTGCCATATCGAAAGGTATAGTTTTCACATGCCTCAACCCCAGGTAGCTGGAAAAAAAGCAAAATAAACAGTCATTTAATTTCAAAAAGACAACCGACAACCTAGAACTGGCCAAAGGATGACTGCACTCATATTTTTACCATTTAACAAAATTCTGTGTTCAAATTTCTATCCATGTAAATGTCACGAGCTTGCACTCTGATTTATTTACGTATGAGTATGCAAATTTAGTTTAAAAACAAAACAGTAAATCCTGGCAAATTTTTCTTGAAGACAAAGATTAACTGAAAGCATACGACATGCAAACCAATTCACATGGCTGTGTGGTTTTCAGATCTGATGACTTCAACATTCTCAAACATTGGGAGTGTAATATAACTCACAATTTACTTCTTTCGTCTAAGTAAATGCTAACTTTACTTAGTTCTTTGTTGAGAACTTCAATATTAAGCATAGTTAACATTATTTATAGTTTACTTTCTAGATCATTTCTCAATTCAATTTTACTATGATCTGATGAGCCTGCCCATCAATCTCAACCAGCACTTGTCTGTCAGTTTGTCATACTGGAATGACTTCGGTGTTGCTGTGATCTGGAAATTATGTCAATTACTATTTCAAATACCAGCAAGGTTAGCCACAGCAGACATGTTTCAGAAGAGTTTCCAGATTAAGGAAGACTAGGAAGAAGGACCTGGTGATTTACTTCTAAAAAAAATCTGACAGGCGAAAACCTTATGAATAGCAGTGGAACACGCCAAAAGATAAGTCCATCAGGTTGGAAGGCACCAAAATACCACTAGGGATGAGCTGCCTCCTCAAAGTAGATTTGACCTTAATGATGTGGATGGAGAAAAGTTTTTAGAACCGGTTTGTTGATGGGACACAACTCAGAATGAGAAAGCTGAAAACATGCATAAATAATTAGAATGTGGAAAGTACTAAGTATGAGTCTGGAAAAGTTGGAATTTATAAAAAATGAAATGGAATGCATAAAGATCAATATCCTAGGCATTAGTGAATTGCAATGTACTTGTGTTGGCCATTTTTAACTAGACAATCAAATGCTCCACTGTACTGGAAATGACAAACTGAAGAGGAATGGAGTCACATTCATAATTACAAAGAACATTTCATGATCTATCCTTTAGTATGAAGAAGAGTCAAAAATTATCCACACTCCGGTTGTATTAAAATGCCTGTCTACATCCATGGTTGATGACAACATTCAGCATGCACCAGATATGATTCTGTTGAACAGACGAGTGACAGTGGATTATGTGGCAAATCATTTGCAAATCAGCGTGGCTCTGCCTTCTGAAATAATCCATAGCTGAGTTGGGTTTTGCAAGTTTGTGGAAGATGGGTACCGAAAAATAGCTCATGGAATAACAAAAGCACTTGGACACCTGCAAATAAAATTTGAACTAATACTCAAAGGAAGGTAAAATTTTTTTAAATTAAAAAAAACTTGCTATTGGAGATAATACATGGATTCATCAGTATGCGCCTGAGAGTAGATGGCAGAGTATGGAATGGAAACACCCTCAAATCGCTGATCAAGAAACAGTTCAAAAGTCAATCATCAGCTGGAAAGTTGGTGCTTAGCTTTCTGGGACTTTCAAGGACCAGTATTGGAACACAATGCTCATTACAGTGAGATGCTCACTGAAGAGCTGGAGCCTAAACTTCGGATTAAATGCAGAAGACTCCTATCCAAGGGCATTGTGAGCTTGCATGAGAATGCACATCCGCACACGTCTGCCCACACTGTTGACAATGCAAAAACTTCATATTGAGGTGTTACTGTATCCTCCTCCCCTACAGTCCAGATCTGGTACCACTGACTTTCTTTCACCAATTTGGTCCCTTGAAAGCAGCTCTTCGAGGACAAAAGGTTCACCGAAGACAAAAGGTTCACCTCTGGTAAAGAAGTAAAGACAGTGGTACATTTGTAGCTTGCAGCTCAGCCTAAAACATTTTTTTAAATAAGGGTTATTACACATGAACAAAGTGTATTGAAAAGCAAGGAGACTGTGTTGAAAAAATGATGGATTTGTCTTTCTAAAAGTTGACTAAAGTTAAGTTTTACAGGCAGAGTGTGGATAACTTTTGACTTCCTTTGTACAATGATGCCAGTGATAGGATAACATCCATATGCCTACAAGAAGTTCTGGTGTGGCACTGTAAGCTAATGCGCTGGATTGCAAAGTTGTCTGAACCACAGGTTGGTGTTTCAAACTCACCAGCTGCTCCTTGGAAACCCTATACGGGATCGCTATGGGTCGGAAACGACTCGACACCACTTAACAACAACAAGGAAGATCATTTAATATAACTATTCATATTGATGCACTAATCACTAATGTCAAAGAATAAACTCAAGATTCTTTATAAATTTCTTCAGTTTGAAATGAATCAAACTCACAAACAAGATGCATTGTTAATTACTGGTGATTGGAAAACAGAAGTTGGAATCAAAGAAAAAGGATCAGTAGTTGGGAAATATGACCTTGGTTATAGAAAGAATGCTTGAGATCACCTAAGAGAATTTTGTAAGACCAATGACTTATTCATTGTAAATACCTTCTTTAAACAATATAAATGGTGACTATATGCATGGACTTCATCAGATGGAATACAAGACAATCAAATCGACTGAATCTGTAGTATGAGATGAAGAAACTCAATATCACTAGTTAAGAACAAGACCAGCAACCAATTGAAGAACAGATCATCAATTAGTCCTATGGAAGTTTCAAGGGGAAGCTGAGGAAAATTAAAACAAGTCCATGAGAGCCAAAGTATGACACTGAGTATATATCCCACTTGAATTTGAACATCATCTTAAGAACAGACTTGATACACTGAATACTAATGAATGAAGACCAGACAAGTTGTGAGATGACATCAAGGATATCAAAAATGAAGAAAGAAAAATGTCATTAAAAAGACAGGAAAGATCAAAGTGGATGTCGGAAGAGACTTTGAAACTTGCTTTTAAATGTAGAGTATCTAAAGTGAATGGAAGAAATGATGATGTAAAAGATACAGAAGATTTCAAAGGATGGCTTGATAGGACAAAGTAAAATATTACTTTGTGCAAAGTACAAACGTGCAAAGATCTACAGTAAGGAAACCGAAAGGGAAGAACATGCTCAGTCAGTTTTTCTCAAGCTGAAAGAACTGAAGAAAAATTAGAGCCTTGACTTGAAATACTGAAGCATTTAATGGGAAGATGTTGAACAATGAAGTAAGCACCAAGTGAAGAAGGAAGGAATACACAGTCACTGTACCTTGTGTGTGTCCTGGTGTGGCTCTGCAGGATAAGGCACTGGACTGCAAGGTCAGTTTGAACTACAAGGTCGGAGGTTCAAACTCACCAGCCAATCTTGGAAACCCTATACAGGATTCACTATGAGTTGGAACCAACTTGATGGCACTTAACAACATACCAAAAAGAACTAGTCAGTGCCCAACTGTTTCAAGATGCAGAGTATGATCAAGAACTGGTGAAGAAGTCCAAGCTACAGTAAAGGCACTGGTATAAAACATGGCTCTAGGAATTGATGGTGTACCAATTGAGCTGTTTCAACAAATGGATATAATGCTAGGAAGCTCTCACTTGTCTATGCCAAGAAATTTGGAAGACAGCTAGCTGACCATCTAGAAGATATATATATATACATATATATATATATATATATATCCATTCTAAAAAACCGTGATCCAATAGAATATGGAAATTATCAAACAATATCAGTAAGAACAATTTTCTGATGATAATACAAAACTTTTTGTAGTAGTACTTCAACTGAGAACTTACAGAAATTCTAAATGGATTCAGAAGAGGACATGGAATGAGGGATATCACTGCTGATGCCAGATGGATTTTGGCTAAAGGCAGAGAATATCAGAAGTATGTTTCTTGTTGTTGTTTTGTTCAGTGCCGTAATATTGGTTCCAACTCATAGCGACCATATATAGGATTTCCGAGGAGCAACTGGAGCATTTGAACCGCCAACCTTGTGGTTCAATCTGAGCTAGCGATCAAATGCTTATCCTACAGTGCCACACCCACCAGGACTCCAGAAAGATGTTTAGGTATATTTTACTGACTGTAAAAGCATTCAACCGTGTGGTGGATCATAACAAATTATGGATAATGTGAAGAATGGGAACTTCAGATCACTTAATGGTGCTCGTGTGGAACCAGTACATAGGTCAAGAGGTGGCAGTTCAAAAAAGAACAGTGACCCTTTATCGGGTTTCCAAGGAGAGACTGGTGAGCTTGAACTGCCGACCTTGCGGTTCAAACTGACCTTGAAGTCCAGTGTATTAACTCACAGCGCCACAACAGGACTCCAAATAAGGGGATACTGCATGTTCAAAATCAGGAAAAGTGTGCATAATCCTTTCACCATATTTATTCAATTTGTTTGCTGAGCAAATAATCCCAGATGCTGTATTATATAAAGAAGAATGCAGCATCAAGAGTTTGGGAAGACTTAGTTACAACCTGCAATACACAGATGACACACCTGGCTTGCTGAAAGCTAAGAGAACTTGAAACATTTACTTATGAGGGTCAAAAAGTATATCCTTTAGTATGGATATTACAACTCAAGAAAAAGAAGGCAAAAATCCTCACAACTGGATCAATAAGCAACATCATTATAAATGCAGAAAAGATGGACGTTGTCAAGGATTTAATTTTACTGGGAGCCACAATCAATGCACATGGAAATAGCAGTCAAGAAACCATATGACACCGCACTGGGCAGATCTCCTGCAATAGAGCTCTCTGAAGTGTTAAAAAGCAAAGACGTCACTTTGAAGTCTAAGCATACCTGACCCAAGCATGGAGTTTTCAATAGCTTCATATGTATTTAAAAGGTGGAATGAACATGGTAGAATGAAGAAAAAATGTATGTGAATTATGATGGGGCTTCAAAAAAAATTCTGATAAAATAGAATGAAAAGGTAATAGAAATTTTTCCATGAACTTTTAAAAGGTCCCTCTATATGAAGAACAATTGAATATATCACGAACTTATCACTAACTACCAGAAGAATGAACAAATGTCTTGGGAGAACTACAGTCTGGCTCCTTAGAAACAAGGATGGCAAGGCTTTGTCTCTTGTGTTTGGACATGTCCCTGGGAGGGACCACACTCTCTTGAAGGACATCATGTTTGGTAAGTAAACGGAGAGTAAAAAAGACACAGACCTTTAATGAAATGGACTAATAGTGGCTGCAACATTAGGCTCAGGCATAACAATAACCGTAAGGATGGTGCAGGACAGGGTCACTATGAGTTGGGGTTGACTTGATGTCACCTTACAACATCCCTCTCAATGTCATGAGGGTATAAGTAGCAGTGTAAGGCTTACTTGTAAAATAATTTATATTTATTAGACCTTTTACCAGAAAATATTTCTTGTAAAATGTATTCTCCATAAATAGAAAAAAATACTAATCATTTATGCAAAGTTATACCAAAGAAAACAATTAGGTTTTTGGGATATTTTCTGCTTCTTCAAAGAAAACACTGCAGTACCTTTTAATTCTTGGCAACACTACCTTATAATTATGCAATTTTCCAAGATACTGTGGGGATACAGTTCTGTTAGACTCATTGTTAAACATGCTTGTAATCTTTCAGGCAGACATGTGCTCTTGCAAGTCAACTGTACTCTAGTGATGACGTTTCATGGGAAGAGATAAGGAGAGTGGTCATTATGAAATAAGTGTCAGGGATTGTACACACCAACCTGTTGAAGTGCCCAGGAACACTGCAAGCAAAGGGGGAGAGGAGTGCTTGCCCCAGCAACCCTTGCTTGTCCTTTGAAGAGACTCTGGAACGTGTTAACTATCTTATTAAGTGAACATTACCATACATTAACATTTACTGAGGACCCCTAAACTAATGTTAAATACTCCGCTTTCTTTTAGAAAGACAGCACTTAATTCATGTCACCCAAAAAGTATTGCATTACAGAATGTACTGAAATGTTAAAGTGGCTGCATTGAGAAAAAAGGGTTTGTGCAATGATAAAAGCAGTTTTAATTTCTCTTTAACTGAACACTCACTGATTCAGCTATACGTGCTACTGCAGAAACAGTTAATCCAAACAGATCCTCTCCTTTTAAATATGCTGGGAAAAGCTGCAGCATTTCAGACTTCTTTCTCACACACGCCACAGGTTCCAAAATCTTATCCCAAACACCTATACATGGACAAAAAATAACTTTCATGACTTCTTGCTCTTGGTCAAGCAGAGAGAATGAAAACAATGTGCAATATAAGAGAAAAGGGGAGAATCACACACAAACGCTTAGTTTTCAAATGAAAAATTTTAAGGCAGTAATTAAACAAACCTGGTAATGCCTGCTTATTAAATGGTAGCAATTTATGTAAATACTAAAAATTTTAGGAAAATAGTATGTTAAGGAATTAAACAGTACTGTTATATTTTGCAATGATTATCCCAATTAACAATATGTGGAGAGATGTCCCTTCCCCCTCAGATTTAAATGAAAATGTGAAATTGGTATTTCTTTTAGAATGACCTCTAGAGCATTTTCTTACATCTCAAAAAAGAACTGCTAAACTTTGCGTGTTACAAACACAATTTAGAAGCTCTGGTGGTGTTATAGGGTAAGCACTAGATTGCTAACTGAAAGGCTGGCAATTCAAACCCACTGCTGCTCTGCAGTAGAAAGATGAGATTTTGTGTTCTCGCAAAGATTTATAACCTTGGAAACCCTATTTAGGGTGCAAATGAGTTGGAATCGACTCAATGGCAGTAGGCTTAGGTACACAATATGCTTTACATGGGTTCCTGCCTTTTAGAAATTGATATTAAGTAGAGGGTATATAATGGGTCAGCTTCATCTACAAATTAATCTGACTTACTTTATAAAGTCTATCCTTTGAAAATATATTTCCATGACTCTGAATTAGAATAGTCTAGACAATGTTAAGAAAACTAAACAGCAAAAAAAAGCAAGGCGTAAATCACTCAAATAAGTTCAAATTTGCATTTGTAAATGCAAAGTCCACACCTGTTATTATAAAATATAAAATTAACAAACCTGAGAAAAAAACTTTGTAATACAGACATAAAACATCTACTAGCCTAATGTTAATATGACCAGTTCTTACCTTTGGGTGAGGTGTCACTTAAGACCAGATCTTCATGGCCTTGTTCCACAATTCTGATGACAAACACTGGATGTCCATCTTTCTCCTCAATGGAACATAGATAGCGACAGCGCCGGTTGGCATAGCGTGTGCTCCAGTACAACCGGCTGGCTTCATAACCCACAGGGTACAGTGCTTTAGGAGAATGGAATGCTTGCATCTGCTGTGGGAGCAGCTGCCCAATGGTATGGAAGATAAGGCTTCCAACACGAAAGGTGTGGTCACGCTCTCCTCGCTGCACAATGCTAGCAATTTGCCGCACTTCATCACGCTGAACATAGACCCGCCTGAAGACTGCAAAGTAACTTAATTCTTGCTCATGAATTCCCTTTGGTTTGTGCATGGGACAAAGCATTGTTTTGTCCTTAAAAAACATGCATTGTGCTTTAATGGCGCAAGTAAAGTGGTAAATGTTGGTGCATCGAAATCTGTGACACCCACTGGTGGCACCCATTTTATGACAGAAGACACATTTCATTTGCAGGCCTCTCCTCAGTGCTAGCTCCACATTGATTAAGGCACCAGCCTGGGTCTCATAGACCTCTGTGGACCACAGAGCACAGTTCAAATGGACCCATAGATCCAAGTCAAGGTTGAGCAGCCTTGCTGGTCCATCTGTCAATCCATCACCTTCTTCATGACAAAAGCAACACTTCCTATAGTCTTTGGGTACAGGATCAGGTTTAAGGGAAGTGCCTAATTTCTTTAAAAAGTCATCAATTTCATCCTCACAAGGTGATTTGAATGTTCCCTTGGGGATGACAATATGAATACTCCATTTCTTCCACTTCATCCCTCTCCACTTTTTATTTACAGGCCTATAGTCATCAAATCCGCCATGTATAGTTCTTAGCCGGGGTTTTAACTTGACTGTTACCTTAAGTTCATCTGGCTTTGCTTCTACTTTGGCTGCTTCAAAAGCAGGAGGGAAAGTGATGGGAGGTGATGTAGGAGGAGACACTCTTTCCTGAAGCTGTGGGAGACAGTGCACATCTAAAGTAGAGATGTTGTTACTGTACTGATGGAATGCTTTGGAAGATGCTTCTTTTATAGGCGACTGTGGCAACAAAGGAATGGATTCCTGGGCAATACAAAGAAAACATACACAACAAAAATTTATAAACATAATAAGCAATTCTAGTTAAAAGAAGCTGAGCAAGCCTAATCATTTAACAGAGTGTGTGCCTTAGGAGGAAAGGTCAATATATGAGTGATACAGTTTTATAACCAGAAGTGAATGCTAGTATCTCAGACTTTTAGGTGTTAATAAACCCAAAGGAAAACAACTATGGGGCGATCCTTTCCAAGTCTTGTATATAAAGTTATAACCCTAGAAGATATTCTGCTCTTAAACCTTCGTAAACACCTCTTATCGTAACAAACTACAGGCTTTCTGACATGCTCTGAAATTCCTATCTGTTAATCCTGACTCAGACAAGCATCATAAATGTGAAGGAAGGAGAAAGAGTTCTCTGTCTGCAAACAAATCATATTTAAGGTTCCTTAGTTCTGATTCAGCTGCTGAAATAGTTGTACTATGAGAGAAGCTCCAGCTGTTTCTTTAGGTACAGAGTAGTGCAAACGAAAAAACACCAAGCCCACAAGGTCTGCCTCCCATCCTACACCTTCTCATATACCACCCTCCATCCCACACAAGGTATCTGAAATAGGACAAATCTCATGTAAAATACATGAAGTATGCAGGAATTGCACACTGACTTACAACTATCTGGTGAAAACACAGAACATAAACACATAAAAAATTTTAAATGAAAATTTAGTTGGCATATAGTATAATTTTCATAATATCAGGGATTATTTCCTATTAAAAAATAAATCTTCCAAATGTCCTTCTAAGAAATGGTAGAGCAATCAATATGACGCAGTACTAACTGACAGCATTTTTGTACAGGAAAAAATTCCTTCAAAACATGTTTTAACATTTTTTTCTTATATCACCCAAATAGTTCAACACACAAACTGAGTAACTAGACATTTCTCTTAAAATATATGACTAGGTCTAAATTTTATTCTTGAATAGGCCTTGCTATTGGGATAAGATCGATAAAGGCAATTTTTAACAAATGTAGTTAATTTAAGATATTTAAATTAGTAAAATTAAAGATTTGAGTGCTAGTGTTTGTTTTTTTCATTTCTAAGCATTAAACTATAATTTAAGTCTGCCCACTGTTGCCAAATAAGTTAAAGTTATTTAATTTGAAATTTCCGCATGATCAATGACTTTTATAATCTTTCTCAACTTGATCAGCATCTCCTTAGGATTTCTTACATAGAGCCCTATGAAAGAGTCCTCCTGGCACCGTGGTTTTGCATGTGGCTCCATGGGAAAAAAGACCTGCCAATCTGCTTTTGGAAAGATTTTTTCTGATGTTAGGTGCCATGGATTCTGTTCCAATTCTACATACAACAGAATGAAACACCGCTTGGTCCTGTTTCACTCTCACAATTGTTTGAACCCATTTTGCCACTGTGCCAATCCATCTCGTGTGGTTCTGCCTCATTTTTGCTGACCCTTACTTTACAAGCACAAGGTCCTTCTCCAGGAATCGGTACCCTCCTGATAACATGTTCTAAGTACTGCGATGAAACTCGCCAATAATGCTTCTAAGGAGCATTGTTCCAAGATAGATTTGTCTGTTCTAGAGGTCCAATGTACTTTCAACATGATCAGACAACAACACAATTCAAAAGCATACATTTTCAGTCTTCCTTATGCATTGTCCAGTTTTCACATGCATATGAGGTGACTAAAAATATCATGGCTTGTGCCAGGCACACCTTAATCCTCAAAGTGACAATCTTGCTTTTTAACACTTTGAAGACCTTTTGCAGCAGATTTACCCAGTGCAACACACTGTTTGATTTTTTGACTGCTGCTTCTATGAAAATTTCTTGTGTAAATGAAACACTTGATAACTTTAATATTTTCTCTATCATGTTGCATCATTGATCCAGTTGTGTCATCTGCATATCACAAGTTGTTGAAAGTCTGGAAAAACCTATGGACAGTTTATAGGGTTGTACAGAAGCAACTCATTGACACATAACATTCTTGTTCAGAACACAGAAACCACTCATTGGGCATTATTAACTGAATTCAGAATGTCTTCATTTTACCTTGCTTTCTGAGCTTTTTGCTTGTGCAGTTGATGAATAAAGAATAAAGCAGTTATTACTACAAAAGACAATGTCCTTCTCAACTCTACTGGAGCTTTCTCGGGAATCCTGGAAACCAAAGAGAAATATGTGGGGATCTCAACAAGTCAAAATTTATTACAGACAGAATTTATACATTGTTAATTTTTATATTATAGTCAAAGCTAAAGTTATTTTAAAATAAAAAAATTAACTTAGAAAAACAAACTTTACTGTTATACTTAACTCTATTGTTAAACATGTATCCCTTATAATACCCAATTTAATAATCAGTGGTAGCTATTTGACTTTGAATTCACACAAGTTTAATAAATGTTGTGACGATAGGACTATGGCTGCGAACCATGAGAGTGAGAGTGGTGGTGCGAGCACACCAGCAGCTCAATGGGAGAAAGATGAGGCTTTTTGCTCCCACAAAAGATTTAAAAGGCTTGGAAACCCCTTTAGAGTTTCTATGAGTTGAAACAGATTCCACAGAACAACAACAAAAACATAAGGTGACTCTTTTATGATGTAGAAATGAAGTCCAATAAAGGCAGGGGGATGGAATTATATAAGGAAGAATAAAGTACCTTGCTCACAAAGTTTATATCTTTGAAAGGTTTCCGCACACCACTACCCAGAATGACAACTTTACAGTGACAACACCACTGTGGTCTGAGTGCCGAACCATCTGCAATACCATGATTAGAATCTTTATATCCAGCAAGACCTAAAAGTAACAGACTTTTGTTAATAGTTAAAACTAAGTATTGAAACAAGTAGCTATACTGTGTAAGATTATGCTTTATCAACTTACTACAATATGGTTCATTGTAAGTTAATTTGTATTATCCTTTATTTAATACAAGTTTTTATTTCCTAAGCTATGACTACAAAGCATCTATTATGTACGTGAGTAGGGTACAAATAAAGAAAACATTTTATTTTTGAATACCTACACCACCAGCGCTAGCAAGTAAAATGTACCTAACAAAACCAAATTACCAAGTATTCAGAAGTCCTAGTATGGCGTTGTAGGGTAACTGGACTACAAAAGGTCAGTTTGAACCACAAGGTTGGAGGTTTAAACCCATCAGCCATTCACTGGAAACCCTGTACCGGGTCACTATGAGTTGGAACCAACTTGACAGCACTTGACAACAACAACATTTGTATTCAGTCTAAGTGCAAGATGAGTAGTGGGGAAAAGGCATTATTTCTGCTTACAGGTAAAGACGATGTAAGAGTGTTTTATGAAGGATGAAGAGGCAAGTGTAAAGGAGTCTTAAAAAAGCGTTAACTGGGATAGTCAAAGAAAAATTTACATCCAAAGACAAGACGTAAGTGTAAGCAAAGAGAGATTATATTGTGGGTTATGCTCGGAGAACAGAGCACGATTCACGAGTGCTATGTGACTGACATAGATTGTGTGAAGGCAGAAAAGGAAAAGAGAAGCAGGAAGAAAGTACAAACAATAGAAGGAGAAGCTAAGGTTCAGAGATAAGAACTGGTAAGCAGCTAGATTCTACTAGAAAAATAAGGATGCAAACAAGATGGCAAGGGAACGAACTGGTAAGTGAGAAGATGGTGAAGTTACAAAGGCATAAAACCACTAAAACCACTCTCCACAGATTTCCACGGAGATAGCAAGGAAAGCTGTGCCATGGTTAGTCTGAGGAAGTTTTTGCATATCTCAGGGATGGAGGGGAGAGCCATGAGTACATTTGGTGAGGGATAGAAGGGTTCTGTGGAGACTGTGCCGATGCAAAAGAGTACTAAGTGATAATAGAGGATGCTCTGGGAGACAAGGAAAAAAGAACACAAGCTGACAGCCATGCCTGAACAACATGAAGCAAGCAGAAAATGTAATAGGTGGTTTGGGGGACTGCGGAAGAACAAAAGATGCTTATGGGTAAGAACGTCATGGGCTTCTTTTAAGTGTTGTGCAAATGGGTTGGCAAGCAATACTAAAACTGACTGACAGCATGACAATGTATATGCCCGAAAGCACTAACCACAGCACGGAAAACAGAACACTCATATAAGAGTTCATTTACCAAGAATCATGTACCAACATTTATGTTTTTTTGCTAAAAATTAAATTGAGACAAAAACAAAAGCAAGCTAAAGTTTTCATTAAATAATACATTTAACAAAAAGTAAACTAGCTTACCATTGCTTGATGGAGGAAATGGCTGCTTTAGCTGATAGGAGCTTGCTAATCTGGGAGGGTTTGCAGATGCTGGTGGAGGACCACGAAGAAACAATTGCTGTCGATATTCCAAACCTGGATTTACTCTGTGGCTATTGACCAAACCCATGGATGGACCATCTGGAGCATTACTAACCTCATAGCTGTTAGGAATTCGGACATGAAGAAGATCGGAAAATGCAGCCACAACACTGCTAATATTCTAAAAAGAAAGCAAGATTTATATAACTCACCCAGATAGCAACGGTGAGTAACTTAAGAGAAATAAATATTTAGGACAAATGCCATCTGCACAATTCATGTACTGCAAGAAAACCCAGTAATTATTATTTACACTTAAATGGTCTCTGGAAAAATATTTGTTTTAATGGGCCAATATTCATCTAAAAGGAAGCACGATGACTCCATACAATAAACACAAGAATGTAAACCACAAGGTCTGTGGTTTGAGGCTGCCAACCACTCCACAGGAGAAAGATGAGGCTTTCTGCTCCTGTAAAACTTTTAAAAAGCTTCAGAAACCCTGTACTGGGCTGCTATGAGTTGGAACTGATTCGAAGGCACTTAACAACAACATTCATCTAAAGCTTTCATGAAAAAGAGGATTCCAATAAACACTAAATATTTAAAAAAGCATTAAAACAGAATATTTAGGCATTCTATTTCTGACATATGGTGCTGTAGGATAAGCACTGGACTACTAACTGCAAGGGACAGTTCAAAACCACCATCACTCTTTGGGAACCCTAAACAGGGACGCTCTGAGTTGGAACAGACTCAAAGGCACTAACAACAACAATATAAACGACATAAATGCAAGGAATGTACTAAGCCTTGCCAGCTTTTATAGTTGCTCAAAAAACTTGTTTCAAGTGGTTTCTGTCCAACTCTAGGCGTAAGTCTGAAACAGTCCACAAATGTTCAAGTGCTGTGGTATTGCTCAGTTGCTGCATTATGTAGATGCCTAGAATGTCACTTTACTGGGCTATTAGTTTGGCTCTCCAACAAAATGTCTTTACAGAACTAAGAGTTTAAAAACAAAAACAAAATACCCAGTTGCAGCTGCTACCTTAAGAACAGCTCTCACGCTCCTGGTAAAACTTTTACTGTTGGTAAAGTTCTTTTAATTTTCTACGATATTGAAAGTTACAAAAAGTCTTCTAAAATATCCTTCATTTTATCAAAAAATGAGAACACTAATTCATTATAGTATTCAAAAGCAGCCGAGATGTCTACAGTGATCATTAATCCTACCTGTAAATCCTGATCTTTTATCCTCATGATCCTATTGTACAGGTTTCACTGAAAGCCACCTGATAAATCTTTTAAAATAGGGACATAGCTACATTGTTTAATTTACCTCAGCAGCTGTAGGGTGCAGGGTAATTGCTACAGATATAAGACTTGATCTGGGACCATTTGGGGATGTACCAAACGGTGATGCGAAAAATAAAGTGCCTGGCTCAGATTTGATGTCATTCCTCCTAGGTTCTGAGCCTTAGGGAGAAAAAGGAAGAAGAAAAGGAAAGACAAAGAAAGAATTATTAAAGGCTTTTCCAAATAAAAACACTTATATTAGTAAAGCAACCTATTTAAGGAAAATTAATAGTATTTTTCTTACTTTTCCCAGTATTGCTAGGAAGAATTGGAATGATGGGGGAGGGCACAGGTTCTGGTGGCTCCTCTTTGACTAATGACAAATCTGGGTATCTGCTCACTGTCATACCAACCACACTTTCAGGGGAAGATGAGGGAACAAAACTGTCAGGGGTGTCCCGATCACCACAGTGATCCTGTATCCTGCAAAAAGAATTAAGTACAAACACATCAATGCGTGCAAATCCACCATCAGGGACTTCTTGAATCTATCCGACAGTACATACAGGTATTGTTAACATTACTTTGGGCAATGGCAGTTGTAATAAGTAGTATATGAGTCTGCTCAGGGTCAAATAAACATTCTTTAGGAAACTATAAAAGAATACGTCTACCAACAATGTAACCTAAATCGTATCGTATGTTTCCTCCTGACCAAAACTTCAGCATCAAAGTTTAATGATCTGCCTGAGCAAGATGTTCAGATGATCAGATTAAAGCATAACAAAGAAAGCATACCTTTGCAAAATAAAATCTCAGATTTCTAGGACTATGGGAATACTCCATGAGTTTGAAAAAGGATACAACGGTCCAAGCACACATCCAACAGTTGTGTATGCAAAGAACTTATTATACTAGTAGGTAGCAGTAACTAAAGGCTGCTTATATTGGTAAGAGTGGAGGAAACTTGGTCATTACGGCTTTATTGGGCCTTGATTTTTCTTAATTGAGATGGGGGTTGGGGGTGGGAAAGAGATTGGGTCCTTTCTGTTTAGTCCAGGAGAGTAGGGTTTACCAAGGCAATTGTGATTTGTGGGTACGAGCAGTCTCAGGCTAAAAGTTGTAGAACATCCCCATGCCTCCACCTGAGTGCATGCTGTCAAGAAGAGTGTGAGAAGGGAATATAAGCAAGTTCTACAGTCAGAAACCCTGGGAAATTCAGGGACAGAGCAGATACCTGTCCTAGATCAGCAAACATTCAGACCTAAGAGGATGCCTCCACTAGCTGCTGAAAGGAAACACTGATTTCTGTTTATAAATTTGCAAATTTCTAGCAGTGAGGTTTAGGGTAAAGAAAGGAAACCACAAGTCTTCAGCAGCACAAGTGATTTCTATTTGATTGATGGTAATTGATAAGGTAGTTATTCGACTCTGCATCTTTCAACAAAAAGAAGATGTCTGATTTTTCAGGGAAGAGATAATAATCTGGTGGATTTAAGTAAACTGGGTAAAAATTATTTACCAATAGATCATGATTCTCCCAGACCAGAGTCTTGGGGTTAAAGGTTACAAAGATTGGATAAGATACTCCTTAAATTCTTTTCTACAACAGCATTCTATTCTCTAACTTTTGCTTCTTTAGATT